CTGCAGCCGTTGATTCCAGCCTTAATTGCTGCGATTCTTTTATCGCTGCAGCCGTTGATTCCAGCCTTAATTGCTGCGAATTCCTCTTCTCCACCATGTCAATGTCCGAAACCACTGTCTCCAGCAATTCCAACCCTTCCAAAGAATCCAATGCTATTCAGAAAATTGGAGAGTTGCAGAATATTCGGGCATCCAACAGGTTCAATGGGAAGAACTATCTCAAATGATCCCAAATTGTCCGCACATACCTAAAGGGCAAAGGGAGGCTTAATCACCTACTTGGAACCAGACCATGAGAAAGGGATCTAGCCTCTATAGCATGGGAAGAGGAGGATTCCATGATTATGTCCTAGCTATGGGATTCCATGGACCCAACGATCAGTGACACTTGCATGTTCTTGAATACCACAAAGGAAATCTGGGACTATATTAACCGCACATACTCGAAGGCCCGTGATGCTGCCCTTGTGTATGAAATTAAGGCAAAAATCGGAGCCACCAAACAAGGAGACAAATCTGTCACAGAGTATGCAACTCTGTTGCAAAATCTTTGGCAGGAACTGGATCACTATCGAGTAATTGAGATGAAATGTCCTGATGATGCTGCAACTTTGAAGAAGTTCATTGAGAAGGATCAGATATATGATTTTTTGGCAGGATTGAATTCTGAATTTGATCAGGTTAGGATCCAAATCCTTGGCAAGGAGGATACTCCGTCTCTAGAAGAGACAATCTCATTAATTCGAGCAGAAGAAAGTCAGAGGAGTGTCATGCTTGAACCACATACTATGGATGGGTCAGCCTTAACAGCAAAAACAAATCAGGAGAAGTCAAAGAATGATCTGCTTAAACACTCGGGTAGAGATAACCAAGGGAAGGAGAACAAAAACAATCTGTGGTGTACTTATTACAAGAAACCAATGCATACAAGGGAGAAGTGTTGGAAGCTGAATGGTAAACCTCCAAGCCGAGAATGGGGCAACCGTGGGGGGCAATAAAGGCCTCAAGCGCATATGGCAGAGCAACCCAATATTAAGAAAAATTCAGCAATAGGGGGGTTCAGTTATTTGGCATAT